GTGGAAGGACTTGAGCCCGGCACTAACAAAACCCATTTTGTTACTCAGTTTACTGCTTCTGACTGTATCCCCAATTTCTTGGACTTCCCTACTTTTGCAACTGTTTACTAATGTTAATTATGCTGTTTAATCACCTAGGAGTGACCCTCTAAAGTGGCATTTCATCAGTTTTGAGGCAGCTGGCAAAAGCAAATTATGCGAGAGGACCGTAGTGGAAACACCTAGGCAAGGGTGGAAATGGTTCAGATACATGGCAAAGAAAGTCTCGTAGACTTTGAGTGCTCAGGGCTTGGGGGTCTGGAAAAAAACTTTTTCTGTTGCTTCACTCTTCATTTGCTTTTTCTGGGAAGAGGTGAGCATAAACAGAGGAATAATTTGAGGGTATCCCAGTATGTCATGAATGGAAGTTCATGGATGGATCCTCAATGGGCTTGGAGTATCCTGAGACTCTGGCCCTGCTGCAGCAGCTGCTGGGAACCACTTGTGAAATGGGTGACTAGAAGCAGCACTTCTGCCACTCTGCATTTAGCAGAGAGCTGGTTCCAGGTCCAGGGAGAGAAGAAGTACCTTTGCTAGCATCCCTGTTCCCTGAGCAGCATGGTTTCTCTGCTTGCTGGGGAGATGTGTCTGGACAGGCAGACACCAAGCCCAGAAGACAGTGTTGCTTTTCTGCCTAGCATGGTGAGCTTTTGGTTTTGAGGCTTAGTGGTAGAGGAATTGGAGGGCCTGGTACACTTAAGTTAAAATTGCATTAATGGGGCTGAGCTGGTGAGGGTGACATCAGTAGAAGGAAAACCCCGAAAGTACTGCTTGAGATTTCAGAGGCAAAGAAAAGCAGCCTAACATTGTAGAGGGCAGCCACATGGTGGTGATGGGATATCTACAGGCCGGTAAGGAGAACTGAGCAGTCCAGAGAGATGTTGTGGGAATGGGGGAGCCTATGAAGAAAGGACAACTGAAGGAAGGCCTGTTCAGAAAAGAGCAAACCCTTAGCCTAACTGCTGAATCTGATGTGAGTTTTCCCCTTGAGAATTTGGAGCATAGCCATCAAGATGACACATATGTTCTACAGGTACTGGAGAAAACTGGCTATGTATTTCCCATCTGTATCCCATCCCTTGCAGGACCACATCCAAGAATAGACAGGCTGGGTTTACCTGGGTAAGCTGGAATGGAGCAAGCCCTCCCTAGTATGTACTGAAGTCTGGAGGAGCCTTTCCTGAGTCCTGCCACAGACCTTCATCAGATGAATATTGAGGGGAAAATATCCCAGCATTCCCCACCCAGGTCTTCACCTCTTTTCAGATCAATCAGCTAGTCATCTCTGCTCCAGCAACTTGAAAACCCTCAGCTTTCCTTCAAAAGAATTTATTAATTCCCCTCGCAGTTCAAGAGCATTCACCAGGAGTGGGGAATTCCTTTAGATCTCTGCTGAAGAATGCTTTTAAGTCAGGAGACCACTTGTATCTACAAAGCAAAGTTGCTCGCTCACCGACCAACTCTCTGCTGGAAGCACATCTCTCAGAAGATTCACAGTTGTTCCCTGTTCCCTCTTGCCTATCTGAAAACTACCCCATGGCTAGGTAAATATTTTTATTATATCCTATGCCAAACTTTCTTCTCCCTCCCACAGCAGAAGATGTGCATCCCTTGGGCTGCAAATAGAACACCCATGTCTGAGAGGAAGCTGGCCTTGCTCCAGATCTCAGCCTCACACATCCTGGCACAATGTTTTCCAACTGTAACAAGAAAACAAACTTTGGTTTGCTCCTCCAGCATTAATGTTCCTGCTCAGAGCTGCTGCAGCAAACTCTTGCAGCTGCTCTTTCACAGTTGGCTGGTAGGGTGATAGGATCAATGGGAAAGAATTATCCAGCTTGGTGCTTTAAATGGGATGGTCGTGGTAACCATGGTGGATTCTGAGCTTCCTGGCACAGGCATTGTTCAAGGGGTAAGGGTGAATAGGCTGGACATGTCCTTCTGTCCGTCAATGCTGGTGCCCCAGGTGGTGGACTCTTGCAGTTGTTCCCAGTTACTTCACAAACAGCCCAGCTCAGCCTGGTCCAAGAACAAGATTTGGCTTTAAAAAGCCATTTTTCCCTCAGCCATCCAGTTTAAAAAAAAAAAGCATCCCTTTTCTCTCTCATCTTTGCTGCTTCTTTCTGCCTGTTTTATTGGGAAACCCAGCAGAGGCTCTGCAGGGAGTAGATTCAGGACCACAGCCCTACAAGCTTGGCTATGTGCTGGGTGGTGTGAGAAGCAAGCTTAATCTGCTGCAATAGCTCACCCCTCCATTCCCTGTGTCTCAGGGACAAAATATGCTGCTGATTGTTCAGCTTTCTAGCACAGCAGATTTTTTGGTCTTACAGTGACATACGTTTTAAGTATTTAATGCTATCAACAGAAGCCAAAGGTCTCCAACCTCCTCTCAGCCAAGTGAGAGCAGTGTCCAGCATTGAAGCTCTGAAGCTGTGCAGTGCGTTGAGCCACTGTCTGTTTGGTGGCCCTGCTTTCTTTCATGCACCCATCCTAGCATCTCTTTTCTCTTTCTCCCATCTCCATTCTGGGTCTTAGGGTCTGTCTTATGTGAACATATCACATCCTGAGCTAATTAGAGCTCAGTTTACACCAGGTTTTTCACAGGCTTGTGGGCAGTCAGGGGCAAGGTGAATTTATAATGGGCTTGTGTCTGCACACCACAGGGTTTGTGCCCCACTGGTGACCCAGGGAGCTGGCAGCACCTCACCTGTGTAGGCAGGCTCCCATGGAGTCATCCATCCGATCTGTTCATTGTGCTGTTGCAGCTATGGGCAGGGATCCCCTTCTCACACCTGTATGACTGGGATTGACCTGTTCTTCCCTGGTCTCAGTGCACCTGGATGTCCTGGTACATGGTGCTGTGGCTTGGAGCAGTGAGTGAGACCTCAGGCTCCTGATGAGGTGCTGGGAGGTTGATACTCAGACTTCCTCTCGGCACATTCCCATGGGCACCCCTAGACGGAGGAGATGCATTGTCTTTATTGACGTGTATGTGTGTTTTTACAAAGCTATTGCCCAGGCACAGCTGTGGCTGGGACTGGTGAGCTCATGGACCCACCAAAACCACAGCGACAGACAGGACCTGTGCACCCCAGCAGATTCAAGAGGCAGCTACCAGCAGCTGTCCTCTTTAGTGCAGTTATTCTGCTTTTATTCACTATGAGTAAGGATGAGCATGGCTCTTCCAATTACGCCTCTCCTGTCCAGAAGCTTCCCTGTGCTCTGAACCACGGAATACATCCTCCATTGTATTTACAGACTTCATAGAGTCTGCTGGATCCAACTGGGATCTGCCCTGCTGGTAATGAGCATCCCCCTGGACGTGCTCCTCCCTGGCTGACTCAGTCAGCCCAGCGCCTTGGCACAGCCCTTCCGAGCAGAGAAGCAATCTCTCTTTCTGCCCTGTCTGTCTAGAGCTCTCCCCCCAAGCCCTCCCGGTGGCTGAGTCACTTCCTTCTTTAAATCTGGCCTTAAATCTTCCTTTTCTCTTCACCCTGTGATTCACTCCCTTTGTGAAGCACTTTGCAGAGCTCTGCCTGGAAGATGCTGAACAGAGGAGATGCTCCCAGTGAGAGACATCCTCCTTTTCTCAGAGCCACAGCAGTGAGCCCCCTCTCCAAGGGCTGGTCCCTGCCCCCTGCTAAATTATGTCTCTTAGTATCAGTATTTCTCTTATCTTAGTATTTCTTTCACTGCTACATCTGACATAGTAATAGGAGCCAGCTCCTGCCTGTGGGCGAGCGCGTGTAATTTCCTTTGACATCAGTGTGTGCCTGTGAGGGCACAGCTCTACCCTTTCCCACCCCATTTGATTAGATGCAGTAAGGGAGTCATTACAGGATCTCTACCAGTCCTCCTTGTCCCTTGTGGAATTTAAGAAGCACTGCTGTTAGAAATGAGCTCAGAGAAAGAAAAGCTTCAATTTCAGCTCTATAAGCTTGGAGATATTTTTAGTATAACATCTACACTCCTCAAATTTTTATACTAAGATTTTTTTTGCCCCTCCCCTGCCTACTTCCTTGGCATTGGACCTTCTCATGTCTAAGTGCCCTGCCTTTTCAGTTTCCTGCTGTGGGAGGGATTAGACAACCAACAAGGTAGTTAAAAGATATTGTAATGAATTAACCATGTAGCACCATTGAACTTGGCTAGACCTGCTCCAGTTATCAGCAAAGCTGGGATAAAACTTGCCAAAGCTTTTTAATCCTGCTTTTGGCTGTGACTATTTCACTATCCTTGCAGCTTGGGAGTGAAATAGGCAAACTGCTGAGGTGCTTTGGAAAGCATCTTGTGAGGGGGCCTTGCCACCAAAGTCTGGGCAAAAATGAGCAAGGCCCAGGGACCAGACCTGGTTCAGTGAAGGTCTGATGGCTTCCTCAGGACACTGGTGCCCAGGCCAGTGCCAGGTTTAAGGGCACATTAACGAAACATTTGGGATTGAATGAGTAGATTCAGTGACAGACTGGGATGCTTCAGTCACTCTGTAAGGGAAGGTTTGTTTGTGAGGCTGTTGCACTTAGAAATGCAAGGCTGTGCAGCAGAATCTGTTTGTAGCTCTGGTTTTCTACAACGTGACCAATGACCACTTTCTTAAGAGTGACAAGAAGTTGTTTTCCAGTACAGTAAGTCTGCAAAGAAAAGGAAATCACTAGTGCCAAGGAGCTTTGTTTCTACGGAAGGGATAGGGACTGTAGAGTTTCTTATTTTCCTAAGACCTCTGGTCCCAAGAGAGGACTTTTCATATTAACTGATTCCTACAGGAGACATAGCAACAAAGTAAATGAGAATTGCAGTTTCTAACACCAATAATCCTAAGCTCTGATTTTTAATAAAGCTTCAGCAATCAAATTCTTCAGCTTCAAAACAGGCAACGCTTGAGAACAATGTAACATCTCCTTTGCATACTGATCGTCTCTGGCAGACTAAGCTTACATTGCATGTATTTGTTTTCTTTTGCTTAGAATGAAGTGATCAGCCAGCAGCTCTCTGTCATTTTCACTCATTGCTATGGACCCTACCCTATTCCAAAACTCGTTGAAATTAAGCGCAAGCAGACCTCTCGCCTAGGTAAGTGTGGCTTGAAGATAACTCGTGGGTTCTCCAAGGGAAGCTGTGGGCAGTCTATGGCACTGGCTTGGAGGGGCAAAAGTCAGAGAAAAACTGGAATTTCAAAGGCAGAACTAGAAAAAGAAACAGCCCCAAACTTAGCCTGACCTGAAACTCCCACTGAAAACAGGAGGGTTATCAGGTGCGTTAGGGTGGGACTGTCTGTCTGCAAAGATCTGTCTCTGTTGCTAACTAGGCTGGGGTTGAGCCTGTGGCCCAAAGGCAGATGTCCATCCTCATCTCAAAGCACTGTGGCTGCAGTTGATGCCACAGCAGCAAAGCCCTCCCAGCCCCGCTAACAGAGCCTGGGTTGTTTTACTGTGACTGAGAGAAGACTCAAGTGATTGTCCAGGATGTTGTCCAGAAGACCTGAACTATATTCTTCCCCTTGGCAAGCAAACTTCCCTGCAGAGGGAGTGGGGTGTCATAGGGTATAAATGAGCTTAGGGCCCTCCAGCATCCATTCAGCTGCAGTTTGCTTTGGGTAGCAGAACTGGGAGGCTGTGCCAGCTTCAGTGTTATCTCAGTGAAGGTCATAATGAACTTCAAAGCTTTGAATTCCCTTTGAACTCCACTTGGCTGGCTGGGGTGGGTTCTGTCTCAGGGTGTCCAAAATAGCTCTGTGGGCTTTACTCATTAAAAACAATATCCTTTTACACTATTGTCCTCTTTTCTTAAAACACTTTCAAACTGTACTTTCATGACCTCTTCCAAACCAAAGTTATTGGCTTTTTTTTTACTTCTTCTTCTTCTTCTGTTTGTTGTTCTAGATCCCCATTTTCTTAACAACAAAGAGATGTCAGATGTTACATTTCTGGTGGAAGGAAGACCATTTTATGCACATAGAGTGTTACTATTTACTGCATCACCAAGGTAAAATATAGACATTTCTAGTTTTTTACAAAAATAGAATTGATTCTGTGGTTTTGCTTTTGTTGCTGCTGTTAAGGTTCTTTGACAGTTAACGGTTCAATCTTCTAGTTTTTCCTAAGCAGAAAATCTCAAGAGCATGTTTCTGGTCAGTCTGCAGGATGTTTAACCAGTGCTCCCATCACTAGGTTCTCACTCAGTAAATGGTCCATGCTTCTGGCCATGCATATGACTTCATTCCACTGAAGCACATTTGCATGGAGCTCATTGCTGCATCCAGCTCTTAATCTAATAATAATTTATCCTGTGAGTGGCTAAATCCTGCCTTTCATCAGTGTAGGCAGTCTTCAGGAAAAATAAGCTACTATCACACAATTCATTAACAGCATTTGACATCTTTTAAATACGATTAAATAACAGAATGCATCATACTCTATCCAAAGACAGTATTTATGGTCTGTTTGTTCCCTGTGCTAAGAAGGCTGGACATAGATTACCCAGCTCAATACAACCCTAAAGTTGCTCACAAACCTTATTTGTTCACAGCTTTCTAATTAAAGGTGTCTTTTTAAACAAAATTAGCTGGGTCTCCATAAGGGCATATTTGAAAATGTGGCAAAAGCAAGCCACAAAGTTTGGGTAGTTTGAGCAATGTGGGATTTGATGCAAGCTGTGCTGCCAACAGCACAGAGCTTTGCATAAAGCAATTGCAGTATCTGACTCTGCCTTCAATTAAGAAATAGGTATTTTGATTTAGAGCATATTGGTAGACGTACGGACACGTTACAGACTCCAGCTTTAAATCTACTACACTGTGTTCATGGTAGAGTTTGACATTAGTAAAAGCAAATAAACCTTATCTATATTTCAGTTAACAAGATGTAGTTGCAGTATGGAAAAGGTTACTGTCCAGCAAATGCTGGTCTTGCTAGCTAAGCCAAGTTTTGCCAAGTTAAGCCAAAGGTCAGAGGAATTATCAAAAAGAGTGAGTACAAGGGCGGATGTTTCTGACAGCACATTTCCCATTGTCACTTTCTGATCAAATGGGGATATCTGGTTTTGAGAAATAAATTGCTGTATATGTATATATGTCTCACATAAATCTGCAAATACATGTTTTTTTCTGACATCCATGTCTGAATTTCCAGTTTTGATAATCACAGAACAGCAGCCTATTCAGTTTTCTCTCGTATTGAACCTGTATAGATACATTAAAAGTCTTAGTGGAGTTGTTGTCATATTTTGTTCCAGACTATTTTTTTCAAGTGGCATAATGAACATAGGGCAAAATTTATCTCCTTCAAAAAAGGTGGTGTGCAGTTGTTACATGTTGCCAGTCTGCCTAAAAAGAAAGTTTATTTTTTGTTTTGTAATATGCATCATAACAGTCTGAATTTCTCATTAGATTTTTCCTATTGTGATATCATGTATTTTTCAAAAATTTCAAATTGAAATCTCCTAAGAGAGGCTTCTTCCTTTTAAACTTTATGTCAGTGTCTATATCTCAATGCTTTTCAGTGACAAATCCATTCATTTCAGTGTACTGTTTTTGCAAGAGCTGATGCTGTCCTTCCACTCTGCCATACTTTTTCACAGAGATAATTGGGCTGGTTTTTCAATCTTGCTCCTTTTTATTTAGGTTTAAAGCATTGCTGTCTAGCAAGCCCTCATCTGATAGTACTTGTATTGAGATCAACTATGTGAAGTACCCCATCTTTCAGGTAAAGTTTGAATGGAACATGTAATAGGAACATCATATGTGCCCTGTCCAAATTAGAACGTATGTATTTGAGAAACATGTAGCTCAGAGTAGTGGCTGCATGAGCAGAGGCTTCCCCTCCGTTCATACACTAAGCTGCAGAGTGCTATTGATTGGAAATGTAGTGCCTGGCCAGATACAGTAGCATGCATGTCACTTATACAGGCTATACAGACAAGGCAGTGCACGTCAAGGTGAAGCACTTGATTTTTTTTCTCTCCTGTTGGCTCTTTCTGTAATTAATGAATGGCTTGGAAGGGAGACAGTTTCTTCCCTTCCTTAGTAGTATTGTTCAATCAGTTTTTTCCATGAAAACACAGAGCTTGCTTTCTGTATCTTTAGCATATATGTGCTATATATGCTTCCCCTTATTTTAGAGTCAGAGCTCAGACAGGTCCATGTAATAACTGGTACCACTGCAGATCATTCCCAGCTGTCTACAATAACTTGAGGCTTGCTGGAAGCTCACTGCAGAGGGTTCTTAGCTGGCTCATGTTACAGTGCAAAGCCTCCCCACTCTTTCTCATCATCCATGCATGCCCATACAGAGCTAGGCGAAGGTGGGGGTTCCATTGCCAGGGAAGGAGTAAAGGAATAATCATTATATATGCTGTATTTGCCTGAATCAGTAATGTACTGAACATACTGGGGAATACATTAATAATTCAGAATTAATTACTCAGCTTCTTGCAAACTGTTGGGTGCTCACTAGAAAGTCCAGACAATGTGGCTGGTGAGGGTTGAGGCATTAGACTGCCTGTGTGAAGGAAACATTGAACTGTGCTGAAAGAGAGAGTAACCAAATACCTCTTAAAATCAGGAGGTTTGGGCCAATTTTATCTACAAATCCTTGGTGGTATTGGAAAACTTTGGGTATTGCCTACAGTCTTTACATCACTCCCTGTTCTCTGTTGTCTTGGATTGCTTTTTATAAACACTCCCTTTGTTTTATTACAGCTGGTTATGCAGTATCTTTATTATGGAGGTGCAGAGTCACTCCTGATTAAAAATAATGAAATTATGGAGGTAAGAGACATTTATCTTAATTGCAGTGGGAACAATGCTAAGTGATCTGTGTTTCGTTCATCCAAGGGCACTTGGCCATCGGGCAAGACATGAGCACTCCTGTGAGAGCCAGCACTGCCTTGCCCAGAGTGCCCAGCTTGTCCACAGCCCTGCAGGAGACACTCAGTCTCCTTCACTGCTAGTCACTCATTGTGGTAACTTTTGCCAGCATGAAGCTGACTGGTCAGAGAAGAAAGAGTAGAAAAATTATGATCATCAAGCACAAAAACTGAAATAAAAGTATCTCATTAGATGCTTTGAGAGGCTCTTTCAAAGAAATGCAAAGCTGGTATTAGCAAAATCTGTAAACAACTCCCAGCAGCATAGCAAACCACCCCCTCTCTCTCTCAGCCTGGTAGGTGAGGTGCTCTGCTCCAGCTGGGCCAGTCAGCTTCTCTCTGCCCCACTCTTACTTTTGACTTCTTTGCTTAGGTTCACATGTCCAACCCTATCTCAGCAGCATAAAAGCAACCAGTTTAGTTCCTCACTTGGGAGAACTCTTGGGTATGCACCTGGCTTTAATAATGGGAGGAACCCCTCTGGAGTCACCGTTCGGGTCAATTTCAAGCATGTGATTGTCGAATTTTCTGAATTAAACCTTCAGCTGCTCCCTGAGACACAGACTTCTTTGCCCCTTTATCACTGCACATGAAACATCCAGTGCCATTGTGCCCATTGACGAAAGGCAAACCAAGCCAACTGCAGCTGCTTGAGCCTTCAGTCTATCTGCACATCCATTACCTGTGTGGATGTCGTGTCATCCTCTTCCCGATAATACTGTGTGTTGTCATTGCCAGGTATGATCACTCTAATGATTCTGACTAAACAGAACTAAAAGATATTTGAGCAAATCCTTGATGGTCGTTCAGGGAGTTTTCCTGGTGACAATCACCAAATTATAGCAGCCAAAAAGAAAATGCTAAAATCAGAGCTACTTAAACAGCTGGTAATCATCAATGTACAGATTATAGTCTGCCACCATCACATTTTCTTGTTGCCTACATTAGTTATTCTGTCCCTGTGATGCTACTGTCTGGGGCATCCACACGAGGCTTGGCTTTTACTGAAACTCCCCAGAACTTGGGAGTGACTCTTCTCTGAGGGAAGAGTAGCCTGGGTGAATCAATTCTGATGGGTACAGGGACATGTGTACCAACCCCACTAGCAGCCAGAGGATGGAGCTGGTCAGAACTGAAATTACCCCTCTCCAATGCAGATTTTTAACTAAGCATATCCACACTGACTTTCTGAGTGTAGTAGGAGAAGGTCACTGATCCTCTCTTTCTCTGGTCATTTTGAAAGAAGCTCCTGAATTTCCATCCCTTTCTGAAATAAGGAGACTTAGACTACGCCGTGCCATGGCTTTATGGAGATGTGTTATCACCTGGGCTGCTAAAAAGCTTGTGCTGCAGTTCAGCTGGCTGTTTGCTCTACTTTTGTGACATCTCAAAACTTCTGTGACTCAAGAATGTATGACTGATTGATTGATCTGTTGATAACAGATCTGGCCATGGTTCCTCACAGTTTAAAGTAATTACAAACCAGCACGTGGCTGCTTGAGCCACAGAGGCAGCTGGAATAGGATTTGGCTTTATCTTTCAAAGCTGCATTTAGCAACTTGCCTTATTACAAATATGATAACAAGAAGCACCAGAAATACTCCACAGAAATCTTTGCTGCAATTCATAATTGGGGCCAGCTGGCTGCTATCACATCAGCACTGCAGATTTCCAGCACTTGGATTTATTTATGGGATTAAAGCAGAGTTTAAGCGGACTGCATAGAAGTCAGAATAGTGTCATGGAAGTTTCAGAGTTTTGTTCCCCTGTACTCCTACCTAGTGGTATGAGAGCCCTTTTGGGATTCACAGGATAGCTTTTTGTCATGCACTCCTAGATGATAAGGGCCATATAAATGCCTAAACACCTGAACAGCTTGGCCTAAGAGACCTTGCTGGGTTAGAGCAAGGTTTCAAGCAATGAAGAACCTCAGCCTACTTCCTAAGCCAGAGCAGAGAGCCAGACCTACCATGGAAAGACAGAAAATGAAATTTCATTTCCCTGCTAAAAAAGGACAGAAAAGGGGAAACAGGGGAAATCTTAGCACTACTGAAATCAGTTGGAGAAGTCATGTGTAAGCCATTTTCACCTCGCAGGCTTCAGGTTATGCTCACAGTGTACAGTGGCACGCAGAGATCCCAAGGCAGTGCCTGGCCAGGTCGTGTACCCATAGGGTGGACACAGGACCAGACAGGGACATCAGCTTGAGTCCTGGAGGCAGGAGAGCTGATGTAGTGCAGCGATATGGACGCGTGACACTAACATGAGTGTTAACTAGGCAGGGTCTTGCACCAAGGTGGTTCCCACCTTTGCGTTGTATCCTGCTGTGCACCCACTCCTTGGAGCAATGCAGAGCTGGACAGTGCCTGAACATGACCTTACTGCTGAGCAAGGAGCATATACCAATCTGACTCCACTTCCTTGAGCCTGCTGAGGTGACAAATCTGAAGTTTATTTCCTCTCTAGATTTTTAAGACTGCCCAGGGTGGTCATCATAATCTGATTTGAATTTCTTTATATTCTTCGTCCTGGCCCTTCTTCTGACATCCCCACATGCAGCCCAGGTGCTCTGTTTCAGCCAGAGCTTGGGGAATGGTTGAATTGGAACAGTTTTTTCCTGGAATGTAACTGCAGATCCCTCCTTGCCGAGTGACCAAAGACTCTCCAAGCTGCTGTTTCGTTTTTCCTTCTCTCACATCCCCCCACCCCTTGACCCTATTCCAAAGTCAGCATGTGGATCTGAGCAGCCTGTGGTGATCTCTCCATGTACAGCTTCTCATAGTGTTATCTAGGGTGGACTGCAAAGGACTGAAGCAACCAGGCAACCTTCTCGTTCTGACTCCTTGTCTGTACTTTTGTGCTAACCAAAGCAAGGGCAGAGAAAAAAATTATAATGAAACAGTAAAGAAACAAGCTCTGATTCTGTATTCCTCAGCAGTTTTGACTGTTTTTTCCCTTGCCTCTTTTTTTTTTTTAGCTTCTCTCTGCTGCTAAATTTTTCCAGCTTGAAGCTTTACAACGACACTGTGAGATCATTTGCGCAAAAAGCATTAATACAGAAAACTGCGTGGATATTTATAATCATGCCAAGGTAAAAATAACTGCCTGTGCTTGCATGTTGTGTGTCTGTTGTCATACTCAGAAGTCCTTTTTTATTATAAGTAGCAATACATTTCTCATATGCTTAGTATGTTTGGTTTGTATTTAAAATGTATCATTGGTTTACTGGGACTGAGTGGCTAATCGGTACCTAGGATAGTGACAGTCCTAAACCATGTAGTGTAAGAGCATCAGTGACAACTCTCACCCTCTTCCCTAAGCATTTCAAACTCAATTTGTGTGTACCATCATGTGGCAGACCTAGACCTTATTCCGGCAATCCAAACTGCTGAGTTATTCAAAAGGAATCACCTAAGTGAATAAGACACCTCACTTTCTCCTTGCAAGTTGTGTATTCCCATTACAATTTCCTTTTTCCTCCTGCCTGAAGCCCATTGGGGTGATCTGCTCAATGCTGGTGACAGCTTGTCAATATATAAAAATACTCTGTCAAAGTGCAACATCTCACAGCCGTGCAAGGATGGTAATGAGAATGTTATGTCTTGGAGAGGAGAGATTTGCAGCTTCTTACTGGAATCAAGTTATTTACTTAGCTTGTAAGGGAGCCTATGTCATTAGGCATAAAAGCATGGCATTTTTTTACCTAGAAAACCTATTTTTGCTCATTGATGGAGGTGGTTTCCATATTGATTAGTTTCACTTTTTCTCCTCTTGTGTGCTTAGTAGTTAGACTTCAACTTGGAACATGGAAATGATACAAAAATAGTTGCAATGACATATTTTTAAAGCATTCCTTAGATTATTTTTTTCTATAGCTTACATGATCTATATGAGAGATAAAATGATGCAGTGTGACATGGAGGTTTGATTGAATAGAGTAATCCTGTAGATTGTGCCAAACCCCTGCAGACCTGACCCCTCTGTTCCCATCATCTGGTAATTCCTATGGAGAGCAGTACTGTTAGGTATTGGTAACACACAGATAATGCACAGATATAGAGGTAACACACAATCAGTGTTTGAAATAGCATAAAGTTCCACCTATAAAATGAACAAGAAATGAGGTGTATCTGCAGGTCTATTTACTGTAACAAGGAAAAAAAATCAGCAGTGCAGGAATCTCTTGAAAAATATTTGATTCATCAGCTCATGTGGGAACTTTCCAATTCGTATTACTATTGCTGAAAGTAAATTGAATAATTTTGTTTTTAAAATCATATATTTTCTTTGAATCGTGAAATGTGGCTGTTATTTACATCCTGATTGAAGAAAGTTCTTAGATGGAGCTTTAGACCTGTCTGAGGAACTTGGGCACTGCTGATGCTGGGACTGAACAAACCCAGTGGCTAAATCCAGCTCCTTGTTTGCCTGCAGAGGCCCCAGCCTGCAAATCCCAGTGGAGTCAATGGAATGGGTGTGCTTGTGAGGCTTTTACAGCCAGAGTCATGTTTTCACTGATGTAGGTTGTGCATTGCAGAGATAGCCAAGATAGCTGTGAATGAAATCTTGACTTCTGGAATTAGTTAAACCACATCACCCTAGAGCTCTGCACGGGCCAATTTACCCCACTTCCAGTAAATTACCAGGGCCAAAATTCATACTGCTATAGCTAGAAAGTTTCCAGTACCTGAACTCATACGTGAATTCACACACTGCCTGCAAAGCAGTGCTCCTGGTCTGTGTGATGTGCAGGTGATTAATCTGAGCACAGATCATTCTGCCCACAGTGTTCCCATCACACAGTAGCTTCATCTGTTTGTTACATGAATATGAGATAATGGTAAGTGGCAAAAGAGGCCAGATGGTCCTGATGAGCCAGGGGAGCTCACAAGCAGTTTGAGCCCAGCTCACCAGCCAACTCTCTGCTTTTCCATGTTGCTCTCTGAAATGTGTAAGAAGCTTGTGTTAGAACCCAGTGAGAATGGGAATAAAGTGTGAAGCACTGAAGTCAGGAACCACCACATCAGCCAGGAGCAGGTTTTGAGTAACTTGCTCCTGTTGTAGCTACCATTTCCAGTCCTTGTCCTTTGCAAGCTCAGCTGCATCTGCAGGATGTCAGGTGATGCTGAGGTGCTCTGGAAAAGAACCTGCTTTGCCAGATGAGCACGTAGATGCAGAGACACGAGGCACCGTCTTTGTCATCACAATTGAAAGATATGATTTGGTGGAAGCGTAGCATGAAGTGAGCACAGATTTGGAAAGCTTTCTGTGGTGGGGGCCTAGGTTGTAGAGCAGTGTTTAGCACTGTTTAGCTGTGTAAAAGGAGCTGTAGGAATAAGAGCTTGAGAGTGTCGGCTAAAGAGGTGAAGTACTGGTAAGAAGGTGAGACAATGTGGATGTGGCCACAAAAGCTGAATTGAGAGTATTAAAATAATCTGCGGCATCCCTATGGACTTTGCATTCTTAAATTCTTTGTGACACCTACAAAGGCAGTTATTTGATTAGTATAACTTTAAGGATTTCATTTTTCAAAGCCTTTGTCACTGTTCTTTACTTCCAGAAAAAACTGACTGGGTAAATTTGATTTATAATGGTGATCGAGCATTTACCACTAGATACCAGTTGGTTTTTACATGAATGCCCCCAAACATCCAACAAAATCATTTGGAGTTTCAAACACATGCCTAAAACACTCAGCACTTCAGCAGATTGCAGTCTGCGCCTCAGAACAAATGTGAAAAGTAAAGTACATTATTTCTTCAATGTCATGAATATATTGAAATAATGAATAGGGATGAGTGGTGTTCAGAGAAGAATACAGATTCAAATGTTCTGTTGCATCCAAGTGCAAAATAGTGCACTCATAAGTTGATTAAAACTTGCTTGGTTTGAAATCAAGTTAAATTCATTGATTTTTCTTGGGAAGACAGGTCCTACCTAGCCCTAATATGTATTTGTTTTCTTTTGATTATTATTTTATTTTTCAATTTGTTTTTTAGCAATTTCCATTCTTGGTTCTGAATGTGATGTGGTGGGCATCACTGCTGTGGAGTTGTTCCAGCCTGGACCCAAAGCTATGCAATGCCCCAGCAGTTCTGGTCCTTCAGGCTGCACCTCACAGCCAAAGGTTCACACTTTACCCAGAGCTCAGACCTAGCAGGAGCTGCTTTCTTGGGCAGGAGGATGGGCTGAGCACTGCTCTCTACTCTTCCATGCCTTATAATTACACCTATATTGTAATATCATAGCTATACTCTTTGTATGACCACAGGATCTAGCCAGTGGGTGATGACCAGTACAAGTCACCCATCGAATGACCACTATGGGTCATTTAAGGTTTGCTCATGCATTTTCTCTCACACATTTAAGGTTTGCTCAGACATTACAGTATCCCTGCCAGTAACCCTGCCGCAGTGTCCCATGGAAGGGAGATGCTGACACAGTCAAACCACGTGCTCTGCAAACCTCCATTTCTCCTCCAAAGATCCCTCAAAGCATGAAAGTTTGCAAGAGAGCTTTCTGCAGTTTTATGTCCCATCCTTCCTAGGGTTGACATTAATGAAACTTGGTCTGTAGTATGTTTTCCAAACCTATAGTTTTAGGGTGTAACTTACAGCATGAAATTATGGGTCTGCTGAACTCTGTGGTAAATCTCCCACCGATTTCCAAAGAAGGAAAGCTTCAGCCCCTGGAAGTTTGTTTCCTTAACAGACAGGGCCTTATAACTTAGAATTGTTACCAGAATCATCAGCATAACATACTATTTGATTAACTCCTTCTCCTCCATGCATATATATCTGTTAAGTATTACTGTGCCTGTCTGAAAGGCACAGTAGAACGTGTTTGATTGTGTGCAGCTCTTCTGCAGTGTATTTGCTGAGCAGGTTTTATCAGAATGGTTACCTTCTCTAATTTCACTTTTTTATAGTTTCTCGGAGTCACAGAACTATCTTCCTATTGTGAAGGTTACTTCCTAAAAAACATGATGGTCCTCATTGAAAATGAAGCTTTCAAACAGCTGTTGTATGACAAGAATGGAGAAACCTCTGGTCAAAATGTACTCCAGGACTTACAGAGGACGTTGGCCACAAGGATTCAGTCAATTCATTTGTCTTCTTCAAAGGGCTCCATTGTGTAAAGCTGAGGAAGATGGTTACCCTTGAATAAAGACCCTGCAAGCTAAGTCTGCTGTTGCAGTTGCTGAAACCCATTGCAGTTGCTTAAACGACTACAAGGAAAAAAAAGCAAAATTAAAAAATTCTACTTTGCATCCAAATAGTTCTGTGTGGGCCAAAGGTTCTGCGCTGGGGCTCTGGCCCCCTTTGGATAAAGGAATACAGAAGACAAAGCTCTTCCATGTTTTTGAGCAAACAGGGTACAAGAGTACCCGGTGAATCGCTCTTGTACTCAAATTCTGAACACGCACGTGGTCGTGGAGCTTCATGCCAACAAAAGCCAGAACTCACTTGAGTGAACAGCAGAAGCCCCTGCCTGAGCGGTGGTGCCGGGGAACACCCAAATTGACCAATTAATCATTTAAGGTGGATTTGTTCCAGTGTTACACATTTAAGAACTATATTTATCCCAGAGTCCATTATCTCCATTATGTAAGAACTGTTGTTGCTGTCAAGCAAAGATCAACTGTATTAGAGCGTGGGTAAGACTGTTACAGCTGCAGAAATATAGTGGCGGATTTTTAGGGGTGGGAACTTTTTAAATTGTTCATAAAAAATAATGGGGTGGCCTTGTAGTTTAAAAAGTATTTCTTAAGCTTAAAATTTCATTTTCGACAGAGCTGTGTTTGAGAATCTATGTAACATGGTTTTTGTTTGTTGTTTTTTTTAAATGGTAAAATGTACATTGTGTAAACATACATATGATCAAGTTTTGCTTGTATTCTTTCCTAGAGTGGTATAATCTTGCCTTAAAAGGCTATGGTTATGCCAAAGAGGTACATTACCCAGACTATCTCTAATACAGTAGCTGGGGGTGGGGGCAGGAGAACTGCATGCTTCTCGTGATTTGGGGTTAAAAACAATGACAAACTCAACATGCTTTTGCATGGTAACTGTACCTGTGAAATGTTACGTTTGTGATTCGTTTCGCCAAGACAAATGCAATGTTACTTCTTGTCAAACTTCATTTGTGAAATTAGCATATTTTTTTATTTGATGCGATTGGTTGTGATATGATACCCCTGGAGACCCTTCTTGAGATGCTTGATTTCTGTTTGTTACAGTGAAGGGATAATAACAGATCTTTACTTCAGTAATGTGTTGATACTTTGCTACTGGCCAGAGATTGTGTCCAAGTTAGACATTTTTAAATTATAATTAAATATGTACTATAGAATGATTTCTCACTGTATCCTGAGAATGTATAGGTTATCTACAATGCAGAGTTTGGGTGGGGTGGGATGGGGGCTGTGATTTAATGTCAAAGTTTTGTCTATTTTGCAGCCTGTTGTTAGCAAGACAAATTTGCTACATGCTACAACATTCCTGATGCTGTCTCTGGAAACCTCAGCAAGGCAAAGATACTGCCTTCTCCATGGCCAAGTGACATTAATATATTTCTTTTTTAGCATGCTGTTCAGAAGCTGTGCCCAGTTCATAGACTTCAGAAGTTTTCTTTTGACAATGCATGTTAACCTCTTGTTCTTTTGTTGAAGTAGTCTACGTTGGGTGCTTTTCCATGTTGATAGCTTTTGGCATGCTCAGAGTTTTGGCTTTAGATATCAACACTGTAGGAAGCTGTTACATGACTCTGAGGTGCAAATCCTCCTGTGTGTTTGGTCTTTTAAAGCCCTTATAGTTTCTGCAACAAATTACAAAGATGTCTAAACTGCCACTAATGTCATGGAGACACAGCATGTCAGTCAATTAGGCTTATTTTTCCACATAGTAGATGTTCACACTATATGTTGTCTGGAACATGTAGGTAATGGCAACTTCTGTGTGGATGTTGGGATCTAAGAAAAGCAAGACTGTGGCTGATGCAACAGCAACACGCAGGGGTGCTTCTTGTTGTTTGCTGTGCCTCCTCATCCATAGAAGCCCATCCTTCCTAGCCAATGATACCTAGATAGGGGCAGACCTCACCCCACAGCTTCATAGTTTAAAATAATAATCACTATAGTAAGTAAAATTCTTCCTTTGGGTACATGCACAGTGCCCAACGAAGTCACCAGAAGTTTCATATATGTATATATTTATAGGCAAAATGGCTTTTTCTGGGAAACATGCCCACAAATCTACCTGTTGATAGGCAGTCTGGCATGTAATGCTAAAACAATAGCCAGGGGTGTTGTGCCCCTGTTTCCAGCTCAAGTATTAACTGTGCTTTGGTCAGGGGATGTAGAGTGCTGTGTGCACAGGCTGCCCCTGGAAGGTGATGCCTTTTGAACATTTGTAGGAACCTGCCTGGGACTCATTAGAAATGAAACACTGATAATTCTGTGCTAGTCATTCTTCTGATGAGTTGAGAGTACCTCTGGTAATGTTTACTGGTTTTCTTTCAGAGATAAAGGGCTTACTATGTCTTTTGGTGGTTGTGCATGCACTGAGTGGTCACAGTTCAAAATTTGGTCAAAGACAAACACAAACCAAAAGCTCTAGTAACAAAGTGCACCTGCTTCCAAACTTGCTGCCCAAGTCTGCACTGGCCTGTGCATTCATGAATCTGGGTGGCTGAGCATGACAAAACATGGTACCCACTGCTGCTGTGAAATGGGCTTTGGTGGTGTCTAGCAAATGGTAGGAGAGAAGAAGCCTCAAGAAGCTGTTCTTCAAAGCTGTTACAGGAATTGCAGCTATCGATTTATAAGGGAATAACTGTTGCCCTTCAAAACACTGGCAATCCCAAAGTCATAGATGTATAACTGAAAGGAGCCTTAAAAAAAAATTACTTTTCAGTTCTTTTTCAATCTGTGACCCCCATCACTTTTGCCAGCAGAAGAGCCAACGCCTGTGTAACCCTGGCATTTATTTCTCCTGGAAGCAGTCAGCAAATCTTTCTAGATCCACAGACTAGAGTTTGAAAACTGCTGGCTTAGTTCACCCCTCCTGCTATGAGGCTGGGCATGGTCTAGCTGAACGACGCCAGACAATGCAGCTTGCAGGCTCTTGAAATTTCCAGTGACAGGGATCCATGATCTTCACCACCCACATAATCAGAAGGTTTTCCTAAGAAACTATTTGGAATTTCTTTACTGCAAATCAAGCTACTTTTCCTTCAAGCCCTCACTGACAGGAAGAACAGATGATCTTACAAGATCTTCTTACAAGATTTTTCTGTGTATGAGAGGAATTAATCCTACTTTCCTCACTAGTTCCTTTGCTATTATTTTCTCAGTCTCTGTTTTTTGCTGTCACTCCCTTCATGACTTCCCCATTTCCCCAAAATGCAGTTCTCCAGTAGGGGTTCTATACAGTAAGAAAGCAAAGTAACTGTGGTTTATGTAAAGCATATCAGAAAATATATCCCAGAATATTTTCTACAAGCATATCCCATGGCTGACTTCAATCTTGTCTGTCTCTTGTTATCATTCCTGGGTGATTGACTGCTGCTTTCCCAGGAGTTCTGATTTTTATTTGTGTATTTAGTTACTACACCTTCCAATGTATAACATTTTCAACTTGTCTAGTACATTTGTTCTGCTTTAATTGGGGCAATTTCTCCACTTCATCAAGATCAATTGCAATTCTGATCCTGTCCTCTAGCCTGTTTCATAATCTCCAAGCTTACGTGGTTTCATGCATGGATTCTTCATTCCATTAATATGGGGCTGGGGGGAAGGGCTCTGTTGTCAATTTAATCTAAAAAGCAGTGTGAATTTCAGTGGGTGCCCATGAATATGATCCCTATCAGATAAGGTTCTTCCCAGCAAATCACTCTATTAGCATTTTTTAGAGAGACAGTATCATCATCTTAGAATATAAAGAACCATCTGCTTCTTTAGTCTTTGTATGAGTTGCAATAATTTCCAAATGTTGAGGGAAAATACTGTCTCCAAACCAGGTGAAATAAACAAAACACAAGATCCTTAGTAAAATCTCTTCTTCCCTCTCCTTTTCTCCTTTTTTTTAATTCATACATTTGCAGACTGTCATGACTGAAGAGCTATTTAAATTCCTTCCTATTTCTCTTTTTTATACTAATCCACTGATGTAATATTTGATGACTTACAGGCATCCTGACCTTGCCTCACAGCAGATCTTTCCTTCTGCCTCTCTTCAGGTCCTCCCTTAGTTTCCAGAATTTCCTCACATTTCCACTTTGCCTCACGTGCTGCCAGTTTCCACACTTCCTGGGTTTGGGTCTTTTTTTTTTAACTCTGGAGCCCTGCTGGGTCCCTTCCCAAGCCCAGAACATTATCCTGAATGGGCAATTGTCCAATAATTGGGTTGAGAGCTAGGAAGGGAAGAGGATGGGCAATGTAGGAGAGCAAAGGTTTTCGACATCACAGAGAAAGGCTCGTATTCTTTTCACAACAAATTTCAGCACTGTCTACTTGTTTCTCAGATTTTCCCCACTCTATTCCTTATGCCTGCTGTCCTCTAAACACAGCTGGTGGCCAGATGCTCTCCATTCTGGAAAAGGGCCAGCTTCCTAATGGCTAAGATTTTTTTTCTCCTAACTTTTGCCTGCTTGGTCTCAGCTTCAGAGTAGATTTGTGCAAATGTCTATTAAAAGACAGAGGAAACAACTTTAAAGAGGTGTGAAGGCTTAGTAGCCAGACTCCTTCTGGCACTAACGAGACCTGCTTGCTGAATCGTTCACGTACCCGAGCCTTTTTGTGTTGAATGTCCACTGGCTTTATTCCAAATGTTGCACAAATTCTGGATGGGCTGCAGCGTGTGGTGTGCTGTGGTCTTTTGGAAATTCCACTTTTGTTTCAGAGTGTAGCATGATGTGCTGCTCTTTGAAGATTGAAAGAGAAAGGGAAAACCTCAGCTTGTACTGAAATCAGCTGCTCTGAGGTGGTGTGGTGGGAAAAAAAAAAAAAAAAAAAGGGCATCTTGTGTTCCTCTCTGTACCTGTCTTAAAATCAGAGGAGGGTTGTGTTACAGCAGGCAATGCAGCTAAGTCTGTGGGGACTTGGTCATCCAGGACCCTGCTTAAGTCAGATTTTATGTTCAATGAAAATACAAGTGTTGTTACTGAAGACAAAGCTCAAGCCAGCCTAGAGAAAAAGCCATTCCTAGTGCTCTGGCCTATCAGTTAAATCCTAAGAGAAGCTGAGAACCCGCAGAACTCATAAAAGTTGGTTGCAGGTATTCAGTGTCCTTTAGGAACTGGCTCTGTCTTAAAAATATTGCTAAAAGGTGACATCCTGAAGCCTCCATTTACTAAAGCTGCCTCTGAAGTCAGTGGAAGATTGTTTTTTTTAATATTTTTTCTTATGAACAAGAGTTACCTAAAGTCAAAGAATTGGAAGTTAGTTTGTTTGACAAAGTGTCTTTCATGTGAGGCTCTGCAAGTACTTCACAGAAATTAAGGGCTTGATGTTGCTTTCATCCTCTGGCCCAGAGATATTTAAATATATAAGCATTTAAAAAGGCCTTTAGGATTTGTCCTAATATTTTATAAACTAGCTTGCAGAAACTTAGCCTTGAAATAGCACTCAATATCTGAAAACCCATAGATGAGAACATCACTAACTTTAGATACCTGCCTATAAGCACAACATTTATATCTCTAACTTGCAGCACTTCCAATCACATCTTCCATACATTTATAACAAAACTAGTGCTTTCTAATTTTTTAACTTGCCATTTATTTTGAGGAAAGGCCTGTTATCTTCAGTGGGTGAAAACTGAGGTTGCCTGCTCTGACAAGATGATCACATTCCAGTAGAATTGCACCTGGTCCACCATTTATAACTGGTCTCCAAGGACAAAAAATAGCGAACCCAATCTTCATCTGTCCATCAATGATCCATAAGTTCAGTGAGACCACGGCTGAAAACCTTACAGATACGGTGCCAAAGCAAAAGGAAAATCTGGAAACCCATTGAAGCTGATGGGCATTTGTCAGCTGCCTTCAGAGAGCCTAAGAACTGGGGAAGCAAGCTCAGTGGGGACAGGAGAGGGGTATTAAGTTTCTTTTTGTTGCAAATAAATAGTAATTTCTTCAGCTTGGTTTAAGGCTTCTTGAATGGGTGGCCTACTGTGTGTTTCTCATGCAGAGGGCTCAAAATGTGGTATCTCACATTCTCAAGTCAGTAGCCTTGGTAGATGATGCTTCTTGTGCTTTGCTTGGGCTGCTTGTCACTAAAACACCCAGGAGACATGACAGCAACTTACACAAGAGGTTGCATTGGCTGCATAGGTTAAATTCTACAAACGTG